AGTAAAAATTAAAAACATGAAATTCATTATGCAGAGTCAGACCCATCCTACCTGACCAATTAGAGACAACTTCTACTTTGTTTTCATGGCTGGTCAGAATCAAACAGTTTAAATATTGATTATTTGAATGATAAATGCTTGGTATATGGTTAATGTGATAAGATGAATAGCCATCTTTAAAAAATTGATTTTCATACTGGTAGATAGTAATTTACATAATTTACCGTATAGCATTTAGTATATTTTGTTCACCAGTAGGTGTCGAGAACGCGTTCATCTGTAACTGTTACGTGATTTGATTTGATATGAAATGAGATGAATTAATGGAGGATGAATGACACGTTACTGTTGGCGCTTTGGTCTGCGCATGTGCCGGAAGTGATCTCTTGCGTGTGTACGTCACTCATTGTTTACACAGAGATTTCGGAAGTTTTACCTTTCACTGTGAAGATCTAAACATAAGTAGATGACAGGAAATCACAATGGAAGATGATTTTGATATATCTAAATATGTTTAGATCACTTCACAGTGAAAGGTAAAACTTCCAAAATCTCTGTATATAATAATGACTTGCCATGCCCCGGTAACAGTTCTGTCCTCACCCTCAGGCTGCTCTTTGAGAAAAAGAGGGGCACTTAGGCCTTTGTTTGTTTACTGTCAATATATGATATTTGTTGATGTTTCCAAATACTTTTACGAGGTCACTTACTCCAGTTATTACACTCGGAATAATGGGTTCAGTATATATATATATATATATATATATAGATGATATATTTAATATATAAAAAAATATAATATACCGGTAGATCTTTCTGTCAGTAAAATAATTTGACTAAGGCGAGACACTACAGGTAAATTGGGTAAAACTTTTAAATAATATATATCACCATGAAACTTCCTCAGTTGATTACTTGCACAAGTATATACAAAATGTATTATAAGTTTTGGAAATTTAAAAGTTAAAAAAAAGTTCAGAGGGATTTCAGGATATATGCTTTCATTACATCAAAATGTAATGTCCGTAGCCTTAAAATATCAATTTCCAACAATTTTTTTTGTTTTTTTTTTTATTAAAATGTCACATAAATCAGGCCAGGAAAGAAAATCTTAAAATATCTTCAGAATACTGTTAAGTTTATAACTTGAAAGTTTGTTGTACATAGGTGCTACATAGGCTGACATAGTACTGGAGAATGACAAAAAGTTATTTTGAGAAAAAGACATATAAAGATAAAAGTAGGGAATTTAATTCATTTTTATCAGGAAAAAAATTGCTACAAAAATAGAATAAATGCTTAGGCCCTTAGTAATAATAATATATAATATTTGAAGCTCATGAAAACTGATTATTTAATAACATGGCAGGCATATAAGGCCTACAACCAAGGGGGTATTCCATCAGCCGGAAGTTGAAGCCTCGCGGGAGCCGCCATTGTAGAAGAACTTCACCTGCTGTTAGCATTCCATTGACTCCCATTCATTTTGGCATCACTTTGACAGCGAATAACTTTACATCTGATGCGTTCAAAGACTCCATTTGTCCATTATTTATTTCTAAAGAAACGTGACAATGTATGAAAGGCTTCATTACCATGTATCTTACGTTATGGCCCCATAGAAGCAGTTTTTGTAAAAATAGGCTAACGATTGTGTCCTAACGAATCGACTCTCCATTGCACAGAAGAGAAATTACCATATAGACAGGAGGAGAAGTTTGCAGGCAATCGGTGGGTCGTGGAGACATGAAGTCCGATAAAGTCAAGGGAGAAGCCCATAGAGATTAATAAAGTTGATCCTGCTGCTAGCTCATGGACAGCTAATACTCACTCTCTCCGTCTCTGTGAGATTCGGAAACGAATTATTCAGATTTCACTCTGCACAGCTACTAGAAGACATACAGGTTGCTCACGTGACAGGCTCAGTTTGAGCTTGCGCAGTACACCTGGTGATCAGCTTTTAACAGGCTTCAATTTTCTCTGCTGAGATCAATGGGGTCGCTGTGTCCATTTCTTTTACTGTCTATGCCTACAACTGCAGTAACAGTAACTCAATGAATTAACATTGGCAGAGTACACCACGTGATATGTCTGAGCGAATCACATTAGCAGAAACTAGCAGTAGCCAATGAGATTTCGTCATTAGCTTTAAATCACCCTTTTGACATTCACGATTGGTTACAGATAGAAAAGAAATGCCCATATTTGGGTAACATAGCTTTGTGCATGAGATTCAGAGCTTTACAACGAGACCGGTCATGAGAGACTTCAGTAAACAAGCGAAGCTCGGCATGATGTGTTGGAATGCTAACTTCTTGGTCGCAATTTGGCTGCAAGTAAATAAAATGTAATAAAATAGACATCTTAATGTATATTTTCAACATTTTCTTTATAGCAGCTTGAAATAACACATATTGAAGGATTAAACTAGCCCAAAATCTCAAAATGATCACTGCATGAAAAATCTATGTTTTTGCCTGCCGTGTCTCGCCTTTACAGGATTTTGACTATTGTCTTGCAGTGACACAACAAAATAATTTATAATGTTTTCTTTCTTTTTTATTCTTAACTGTTACTGCATTTTTTCATCATTTGATATACAATGTAAAACTGTTTTCTTACAGTTCCCTTATTAGAAAGAAAAGACTTGGCATTTCTTCATGCAAGTAACATAAAATGGTACATGGCATGCAGTGCCTCAAAAACAGTTAGTGGTTCACTGCTTATAGTTTAAGTTAAGTGTTTCCCCTCCTGTTCAATATCAGATGATGGATGTGTGTGTCAGGACCTGTAGCTGCATGTAAAGGTATTCTGGAATTTTTAATCTTGAGATCTTTCAACAGACCCCACTGGGCAGTAGCTTTGTTGATGGCGAAGTCTTGGAAGTAGCATTATCTCATACAGATCTATCTACGGGCTTTTTACCAAGTTTACCTCTTAGAACCCTCAAGAATAATTCAAAGCAGTGACAGACTTTAGTGGGAGCACAGGTTTGACTTGATTTTTTCTGCACCATGAATTTCCCTCTGGTGTACATTGTGCTGGTTCACACAGAGAGCAGTTGTTTTGCTAAAACTGCTGTTCATAAGAGCTATGTTTCTTTTTTATTGTCATTGTCATAGTATATTTTTCTCACTTTCTTTCAAAAGCACTTTAGATAGGAGAGTGCACACATATCCCAGGATCATGTCTTAGAAAAATGTATCCATCTCCTTTTTAATACTTTCTATCCAACCCATTACCTAAGGCTGAAAGAAAAAATTGAGATTTGAGAAAGGACTTGTACACACATGCAAAGTTGTTTGTAAGCCCAGCACTCTTCAGCACCTCATAAAGCAGAGGTGAAAGAGATCAAAGGTCAAGCATTGTTGGCCAGATTCGTCAATTTGACACTTGATGGGTTTAGCTTTAAGGTTAGTCCTAAAAGTTGTTTTAACATTTTGTCAGCTTGTTAAAGTCTGCATAATATCACAATTGGGCATATTTACAGTACTTACTCTTGTGGTGAACAATTAATCTGTACAAGTTAATTCACAGAAAAAAAATTCTTAACCTCTGAAATGGCATTCCTCTTCCCTGATGACATCAGTTTGCTGGTGTGGGCAGAACATCATTAGCCACTCCCCTAATCCCTTTTTTTTCCTCATTCAGTTTTCCATTTTAAATGTCTAAAATAAGACTGAAGCAAAGTACTTCGCAACTTCCAGTTCACGATGAACTTTAAACTTCTGACTAAATCATTATTTAGAACTAGTAATATGCAGTATATTTGCCAAGAATAGTCATGTCCTTTAATGTAAAATTTGATTCAGACCTGCCTCACATCATGTAGTTCTTTTTCCCTGAGGTTATGATGTTGTATCTAATTTTCACGAAAAGGTAAATCTCAATTTCTTGTTTGTTTATTTTGTTTCCAAAGCATGTAGAATTACCTCTCATCCTCTTATCATACTTCATCATACTTAGGAGTGCAATGAAATCCTTTTTTTTCTTTTCTTTAAGTTGTCCTTGTCAGTCAGAGAGCTGGATTAGTAGCTTTTCTTTGTAGGCCTTTATCAGTTGTGTTGTATAAACATCACATTGTAAATGATTCCTGTGAATCTAGAGACAGTTTAAACCAGCCAATGGGATTCTTGTTGGATTCGACAATGTCAACAATTTGTGACATTGTCTAGTGTTTCTCCTGTCTACGCATGCACATATGTATGTGTATACAAGATCCAAGGTTTTTACTACTCCTTGTAATGGTGAGAGTTGACAAAATGTATAGTCCATAGTAGTATTTGCATTATTCATGTTTAATACATATAGAAACAGACTCTCAAAAGTTTGGGATCAATAAGATGTTAAGCAGAGCAAAAGTTTTTAACATTGATACTAATAAAAACCAAATCAGCAGCATATTAGACTTCAGAAGTACCGCTATCATGTCATGTGACACTGAAGAGTATAATGGCACTGAAAATTCAGCTTTTGCCATCACAGGACAGGAATAAATTATATTCTAAAATATATAAAAATAGAAAATATTTATTTTAAATTGTAATTGTGAATATGTGTGTAGTGTGGAATGTATTTGAAAGTGAATTTGAAAAAGAAAAACTTAGTAATTAACAGCTTTAAATGTGGATAAAACATACACCACTATGTTTGAAAATGACTAAGACACGGCCTTACCTTTAGATTTCTATTTACAGCCCACATCAGCAATATTAACAGAACTGTGACCGTTATCGGCCTCAAAACACTGGAGCCATTTACCCTTCTTGTTTCATGCTTCAGACAAAAACCCAGAAATGTCTTTTTTCACCTTTCTGTATGCCAGTTAAAAATCGCTCAGTTGCGATAGCATTGTTCACATTTGACTTAAATATTCTCAGTAGCCCAAGAAATACTCCTTGCACACCTCATGAGCAAAAAAGGGTTAGGGAGGAGCCCAGAACTGCTTCAAATCAGCAGCCTGATGCAGGTGGGCGTTAACTAGCTGATGAAGTGACCAAACTAACAGTAAAAAGACTTGTGTCCCCTGATATTCTCTTCCACTCTGCCTCCAGACTCATCAGAGCCTGTGCCCTGCTCCAGAAAGAGAGAAAGGGGTAGAGAGTGAAGTGAGCAAAGGATACTGGCAAAAGGGAAGCACCATGGCTAGTTCTTCAACAAACATGAGGTTACGGCTGCCACTGTTGTGCATCATCTTGGAGGTCATCCTCATCATCCTCTTTGGAGCACTGGTGGAGTATGACCATGACACTCATCCCAAGCTGTGGAATAAAAACAGAACTTCTACTCAAAACGATTATGAAAATGAGTTCTACTATCGTTATCCCAGTAAGTGACATATAGAATGGTGTGTAGAAGACTAGTTGAGCTGGATTTATTGTTGAGAAGATATTTGTGGATCTGCAATGATCATGCAATTAGATAATAATTAAAAAGAAAAAAAAAGTAGATCAATAAATCTATTAAGTTCGCCAGCAGAAACACAGATATGGTGCCTTTTAACTTGATACCTCAGGAATGTGTTTGATTGGGTGACCTGCCGACAGACATTGACCTAAACTGTGTTACTTGTTTTTGAGCAGTCTGACTGGTTTTAAGTGAAGCATGTTTACCTTAAGAATTTGATCTCTTTAAAAGCTTGATTTTGTTTTGTGCTTGGCTTTGTGCAATTGTCGTCAAGTTTCAACTGTAGTCGGATTTTTCATCCACCTCACTTTACTAAACCCAAGTCTCGTCCTTTAATTGCTGCGATTTGTACTAAACTTGCCCTCAGCGCCAGACTTGTGTGAACCACTTAATTACATTTATTGTATTGCATGTTGTGTCTCTGCTTCAAGCCCAGGAGACACCTGCATGTGAATTATATGAGTTGCCTAATGAGTTCCATAAATCATGACATACAGACTTCATTTATCAGTTTTAACAGAATACTTAGGATAAAGAAAGAAAGTGATTTTGTTGTCTTCTGAAAGACTTCTTATCGGAACAGTATTTTGTGACTGTTCTTCATCTTTATATATTGAGTTAGTTTGAAACGACAGAACCACGGGAGTGGCACATAACTACACAACAGGTGTCACATGAGAAACAACTCCATTCAAGGGTGTAGATCAAATCTTTATTTATTGTGTGTTTAAATAAAATAAATTATAATGTTTTATAATTTGAGAGGTGTATGTAGATCATTGTTTCATTTGTTTGCTTTGTGAGGACGCAAATAAATTGTTTCAGTTATTGGATCAAGCCAGTTCTTATTTCCAAACCTGTAAGCCTGTGGAATACAAAAAAAGATTTTGAAGAAGTTCATTCAGTGAAAGTTTATTGTATAGCCAAATTATTTTCAAAATGTCTCCTTTGTGTTTTACAAAACAAATAAGTCATACAGGTTTGGAAAGACACAAGTATCATTTTTGGGTGAACTATCCATTATAATACTTGTTTGTCTTGCAGCAAACTCAGCTTACACATAGAGCTCAGACTAATTTATGGGCTGCCAAAGGGGAGTGATTGTGAGAGATATGTGGGACAGTTTGCCTACAGGGGCCGTGCCATCCTCATTGGTGCCCAGGTCAATGGCCAGTTGCTTGGCAACAGTGTAATTGTGTCAAAAGAAGTGAAATGGGTGAATGAATGGCTCTACACAGAAAAGAACACAGGGGTTAATGTTGAGTTCAGCATACCCATAGTGTAAAATTGGCCCTGTATTAGTGCTGCCAAGTACCCATGTTATGAAAAACATATCAGTGATTCCAGTCTATGAGAATTCTATTAAAATGTAAAACTATGAGAATGTGAGGGAGAAGAATGGAGAAACAGCTATCTGACTGTGTGTTGTAGGTTTCCAGGACGTTCATGTGATGATCTTTGTGGGCTTCGGATTCCTCATGACGTTTCTGCAGAGATATGGATTCAGTAGTGTCGGATTTAACTTCCTCATCGCAGCCTTTTCCCTACAGTGGGCCACACTTATGCAGGGCTTTTTCCACGGCATGCACCACGGCAAGATCCACGTTGGTGTGGAAAGGTAAAATCTTAAACTACATTTTACTGTAGGAGGTTCATCACACTGATGTCAGCGGCAGCAAGCTCACAAACATCTGTTTGTAAAGATGAGAGATTTGCAACAATAGTCTAATCACTTCATCTCGATAGAGGGGTGATGCACAGAAAGATGACAGATAACATGTCTTTAAGCTTCCAGGTTTCTTATCCTTCATGTTTTGAGTGCACATTTGCTGCTGTGGCCTCATGTATATTGGATTACAGCAGAACACAGCGCCACTGAGTGGATGTGGTAGTTTGGCAGCTGACTAGACTTTGGAGCCTCTAACACACAGGCACGTGCACATTTATATTTATATTTTCTCAAAGTGAATATGTTTCTTCTGCAGCATGATAAATGCAGACTTCTGCACTGGCGCTGTGCTGATCTCTTTTGGCGCCGTTTTGGGGAAGACCAGTCCTGTGCAGCTACTAGTTATGGCCATTTTTGAGGTGACATTGTTTGCTGTCAATGAGTACATCCTGCTTTCTATCCTTGGGGTGAGTACAAAAATGGTAATTTGTTAATTGTTATAAAATTGTAATTTTAACATGAATAACGTTAATTTTCCAAACACTGGGCACATGTTTTATTGGGATGCAGTGTTATAAAAATTCTGGCTGATAATAATTAATTTAATTTTATTGCTGATAACTGATAAATGCCGATATTAAAATTCTATACGGATTTGTTTAAATTAGATAAGAAAACAAAGTAAATTGTTTTAAATGCATTTAGACATACACAGTGTAGTATTTTGAGAACTGATAAAGATTACATTTGAAGTTAATAAAGATAAAAAAAAGAGAAAATGAACAAGCTTAACCTGATATCGATAACTAATATGGTACCAAATTATTGTGCTTCTCTAATGTTTGACACATGCTTAATAAAACAAATCCATAAGACTACTGTCAAGATTCCAATGTGCATCTGGTAGTAAGACCAGTGCATCATTAGTAGCTCTACCTTAGACCTTAAAACAAAACTGTTTTACTAGGACTTCACATTTATATCTACTTTACATAAAAATGTAATATTCACAAAAATACCTAATTTTCATAAACTGAATTATGATATATACATATTAGTGGTGTTACGATACACATATTCGTATTGAACCGTTCGGAATGAGGCTTTCGGTTAGTTGGACCATTTTTCCTGCCAACCAAAATGTAGTTATTTCAAATGTAAGTGCGCTCATAATGTAAGGAACGCCGGCGCAACCACAACACTTCCTAACATCAAATGGCAAATGTAATGTAAGCGGCACTGTTACTACACAGCAAAATCCAGTAAAGAAAAAAAATTGCGAGATCTAGTGAGAAACATTCACATTTCTGTTATTAACGGATCAAACAGTGCTGACGTGGACACGAGGAAGAAACTTAGTGCCATGAATGAACTATCACAGATTAGCAACTTTCACCATGGATTTACTATTGTAACACTGCTAACTGTAACCATGGAAGTTTGGCAGGAATAGCAGGCTATAATTCTTTCAAGTAACATTACGTCAGTTTTATTTTGACATCATGAATACAATTACTGCCCTCAAGTCTTAATCTGAACTAAAATTAACCTTTGTTTATAATATTACCTCATTTCATACATACATTTCATTTTGTCCAAGGAACTGTTTTGTTTTATATGAGACTTTACATATTTGTTTATTTGTTTTACATTACTAAGAAAAGTAATGAATAGCTCCATCATTGCTCAAACAAGTAGTAAAAGTAAAAACAAGTTGTAGAAGTAAAAACAATCATACTTTATGATGTTAGTTTTAATAAAAATATAATAAAAAAAATTAAAATCAAGGAAATTTCTCTGCCTTTTTTTTTCTTCTTTTTGCTGTATCGAAAATGTACTGAACCATACCGAACCATGACACAAGTGTGTCGTATCGAACCGAACCGTGAATTTTTAGAACCGTTACACCCCAATACATATCTATATTCTTACATGTATGATGTGTTATCATTATTTATGTGTTATCAATTTAAATTTCAATGGTATTCTATAGGCCAATGACGCTGGAGGATCCATGACCATTCATACATTTGGTGCATACTTCGGCTTAATGGTGACCCGCGTCCTGTACAGACCAAACCTGAACAAAAGCCAACACAGAAACTCGTCTGTCTACCACTCTGACCTCTTTGCCATGATCGGTGAGTCACTTGAAAAGGTTACACACCTACAAAATTCTGGCCTGTGGTCATTCAGGGCTCTTTGAGCCATTAAAGCTTTGGTTCTGCTCAGGTACCATCTATCTGTGGATGTTCTGGCCCAGCTTCAACTCAGCCATTACACACCACGGGGACCCCCAGCACAGAACCGCCATGAACACTTACTACTCTCTGGCCGCCTGCACACTGTCTACATTCGCTTTCTCAGCCCTCGTCAACCCAGAAGGCAAATTGGACATGGTGAGCATCCCCTTTTGGTCATCTTTGATATTACATGACAAACTTCAAGATTACAAACTCTCACACAAGCCTCTGTCTTTTTCAGGTGCACATTCAGAATGCCGCACTGGCTGGTGGTGTTGCTGTGGGAACAGCCGGAGAGATGATGCTGACTCCATTTGGCTCTATGATCGTAGGATTCCTTGCTGGAACAATTTCAGTCCTGGGATACAAATACCTCACGGTTAGTAGCACACACGTCTCTGACACACAACTGTAAACACCTACACCAAACCTCAGTATCTCATTGGTTGCTATATTATGCTCTTTTAGCCGGTTTTGGAGTCGAAACTGAAGATTCAGGACACTTGTGGCATTCATAACCTGCATGGAATGCCAGGGATTCTGGGAGCTGTGGTGGGTGCTGTCACTGCTGCCCTGGCATCCCCAGAAATATATGGAAATGGGTAAGTCAGTAGTTGATGTGTAATTGCATAAGTAAAGATTTGTGATCGTCTCAATGACAATTAATGATAATTAAAGGATTAGTTTACTTCAGAATAAAAAATCCTGATAATTAATAAAATAATACGTCAGGTTACCGCCTGACCTTTCCAACGTTAATGCGTGAGGCCGTGTACGTGCAAGATGATCATTCGTGGTTAAAAAGTATCTATTCAAAGTTCTGGCATGAAACTACTTCTACTTCTTCTTCTTTGGATTTTTACGGCAGCTGGCATCCATTGAGTTGCATTACTGCCATCTTTTTAATTCTGAAGGGAACTAATCCTTAACATTGTCTTAAGATTAATTGCTTAGTAACAATATGCAATTTGCTTATTATTATTATTGCTGTATTCTTTATATATAACGTATTGTTATATTACATTTTACTTAAGGTAAATATTTTGCAATATGTTGCATACATGTGTCATTGCCGAAAACATTGCAGACCTCATTCTTTTTGAGAACAGACACTGTATCTAATCTTACACAGACTGCAAATAGTTTTCGGTGATGTTGAAACTGGACAATGGAAACCTGAAACTAAGGGAGGGTTTCAGGCCATCTCCCTGGCCGTCACACTGGGAATCGCTCTGTTTGGTGGTCTAGTTACAGGTGGGTGTACAGTTGTGAAGTGTGGTGAGTGCATGTTTGTCTGCCGGCTGTTTTTCCTGAACCGTGCAGTTCGATGCAGGTCATTGTTATACGAACTTGTGCTGGCCAAATGTAACCTTACAGTTGACTTGCCAAAACTCTTCCATTTGTTTTATTATTAAAAAAAATTGGAAGTAAATTCTTTATGGGTCATTATCAGTGTTTGTTAAGTTACTTGGAAATAGTAATTAGTTACTGTTTACTGATTACTTCTCCTAGAAAGTAATCCAGTTACTTTACTGATTACTTATTTTCAAAAGTAATAAGTTACTTTTCAAAAACATGATGCACGACCTGAATACGCTAAAGCAATAGACCTCACAGCCTAATTCTATTCTTTCTGCGTATTCCATCATCTAAAATGTAATCAAATGAAACATTCTCTTTTTTTAAACTTGTTTTATTAGTTTCAATATTTTCACTTTATGCACATTGCATCAAGCAAAAAATAAATTAATTGCAACAGTCTCAGACTAGAAGAAAATTGTTGAACATTTAAAGCTATTTTCTGCACATTCCACCATATTGTAATTAAATAAAAAAGTCCTGCTTCTTTTAACTTAAATTTCTACATATTCCAGGATATTTTTTTTTTTTAAATCTATGAAAGTCGCTCCTGACTGTATTCCAAATTATTAACACTTACGTCTTTTAACAGTGAAGTGCAGAGAGGAGTAAAAATTAGTTGATCAAAACAGAAAATGCTGTTGCATGCCATATTTTGGCTTGTTTAGCATGTAGCCGCAGCTAATCGTTAACCGTGTGAGACTGTCTCATGACGTGCTTGGTCAGATCAATCCACCGATTGGTTGCAGCATTTGCCGCAGAGCAACCAATCGGTGCGCAAGTCACCTCGCCTAGGTATGAAATATTAAAGAATCATTTTTTTGAATTCAGTATTTTTCCGTAGTGTAAGCTAGCTTACGCAACATAAGAGTACTCTCGGAAGAGAACTAATCTTTGGTCACAAAATTACATAAAAAACCTGTGAAAATAATTCCCAGTCGGACAACTGCCTTATAAAAATCAGCATCCATAGACATGTTTTTTTTTCAACCCCTCCCTACGCATTGATTGGTTACAAAGTAGTTTTTGCATGAAACTGCAAAGTATAAATAAATAACTTCTTGAAGTATATGAGTATGAAGCTAATTACACATAGTGTCTATGCTGGACACAACAGCTGTCAACGCCCCTATGTGTTCTTCATTCCAAAAGTAGTGTAAGCGCTTTGAATATGTGGGAAATGGAATAGGGCATAGGTTTACTGTCGGAGATTGTGTTGTGCCGCATCCAGAGTAGACATCGTCACTGATTATAATGGGTTCTATTCGCTTTTATCTCGTCGCACCGCTCGCATCTGGTGTAGACACGGTTACACTGTAAGTGAACTTAAAAAAGACAATTAAATGGTTAAATCCCAGTTAGTTGTATGAAAATTCATCAACCAGAATTTTAGCTGTGTATTGTTCCTTGTGCATACGTGAGTGTGCAGTATTGTGTAATAGAAATATGTGTGTGTACTCAGGGTTCATTTTGAAGCTGCCAATCTACGGTGCTCCTCCGGATACTCACTGCTTTGAGGATGGACTCTACTGGGAGGTGAAGACTTTCTGATATCATTTTTTATATGCTATAGCCTACTGTGTGTTTTAAACACAGATTCCTTGACTGACTGTCATCATTGGGACATAAAAAACTAGGGCTGTCAAACGATTAATCGCATCCAAAATAAAAGTTTGTTTACATAATATATGTATGTGTACTGTGTATAATTATTTTGTGTATATATAAATACACACACATGCATGTAAATTAAAGAAAAAAATATGTATTATATATAAAATATGTATATTTATATATAATATAAATTATATATAAATCCATATACATTATATACATGAAAATGTGTCTTAAATATATACAAGCATGTGTGTGTGTGTGTGTGTGTATGTATATATATATATATATATATATATATATATATATATATATATAATTATACACAGTGCACCCACATGTATTATGTAAATACAAACTTTTATTTTGGATGCGATTAATCGTTTGACGGCCCTAAAAAAATTGAGTGGAACAACTGATGTCCAGTATGCAGACAGTATCTTAAACAAGACTTGTTTTGTGCTGTAACGAAATGTTTGTTTCAGCTGCCGGGGGAGGAGGAAGGTCACAGTGAGCTTCACGAAGTGGCCACACCAAACGAAGTGGAAAAACTCAGCAGCTAAAGTACCTGCTTTTACCTGTTTGCATTTGTTAAGCTGCCACCTGTGATGTTCTCTGTTGGTGCAATTTATTTTACTGACTTTTTTATCATATGTTGTTATCCCAATTTACCTGAGAAACAGTGAGAATGTACAACTTAAAACGTACGGTATGTCCTGAGGCAACCTGCCTGTGATTCCTTATAACACCACTAGATGGTGGTGCAGAGATGCAAATAGCTCCACAGCGCAGAGACAGAGGACAAGCTGATTATTCGCAAGATTAGTTCTTAGAAATATTTGTTATATAAGAAAGCTTACTGTAAAATGCATTTTATGCTTTCTCTTTATTTTTAATATATTTTCAAAGACAAGGAGAATCTGCAAAAGGGATGATTGTCGGAAATGTTTTGTATTCGTTTGTTGTAATTTTAATTTCCCCCAAAAATGAATTTGAAATAAACGAATCATAAAAAGCTGGAATATTTCAATGTCTATAACATAACGATTGTTTTCTGTTCTTGTTTCATACACTGTGAATATGGGACACTGATTTTTTAATGAGAAACTTGCTAAAATTTGAAGGGGGAAAATATTTAACAAAAATTTGGATTGACTTAAGATGTTAAATGTATTCAGTTACACGTTTATCTGTTTTGTTTAAAACCATTATTTAAAAGTCATGTTTTAGATGAATTGTTATCCCTCGAAGGTGTGTGAGTGTGTCGGAGAGAATTACACTGTAGCCTACAGTATGTTTTTCGAGCAATGTTTCTGAGATTTTGGCAGTCACGAGGGCATTAATTTTACAGTCAGCTCAAAGATAAACAATGGCGTCAAATCACGTTAATTCCAAGTGAAAGCGCCGTTTAAATCGAGAATACTTAATGGCGCCCATAGCCTACAATCACTGCGGAAAGGGTTAACGAAGAGTCCAGATGGCCTCCGTCGCGTAATTAGCACAGTTTCACTTTCTGGGATCAAACGGAGAAGAGAAAGTGGGGGTCTTATTTTGATAGCACGTTATTAGGAGCGCCTGGAGCTCGCGGGCTGTGCGAGGAGCAGCTCTACGCCCCTTTTAATTCGTGCAGAGCGTCTTTTACAGAGACGTGAACCAGCGCCAAGGTCTTTTCCCAGGCCTCAGACAGGTGGACAGCTGGGATGTGAATAGGCGCTGAGGCTGAAGTGCTTAATTGCGCTTTATAATCACCAAAAATGAAGAATACTAACTGCACGTAATATGCTATTTACATACTTGATTTGTTTGTGTTTTGTTTGAAAACGAGATTTAAAGGTTTCAAACTGAAACTATAGAGGTTCAAGTCCACGTGATAGTCTTTGATTAATTGTGCTTGTATGCAGTTGTTAAAAACTATAGCGACACCCAGCTAATTGGATATTTAACAATTTTATTCAGGGAAGCTTTGGTTTAGCTATGTTTTCTTTCTTTTTTAAAAACAAAACCTAAAAATAGGCAACGTTCTGTAGCCTATACGTTCATTGGGTTTTTATGGCCATAAGGTTAAAACAAATGCCTATAATACCAAAAAATAACCAAAATGGGAACCAAATGCAAATGGGGACTGTTCTGTGTTAATTACTATTATGGTATTTATCTTTCAGCGAAACACCTGAATCAGAAACCAAGTCATTTGAGAGTTTATCCATTTTCTCCTGTCTCTAAATAAGTCAGTGGGACTGTGTGCCGAGGGGAAAGTCCTGTGTGTGCTCTGAAAGCCGTTCTGTATGGGGAGAGTGCCTGTCTTTAGCTCACATTAACAGGATTACAGGCGGGCTGTGTTCAGGGGCCACGGTCCTTTTCAACCGCAGGCCTCCCTCTGATCAGTGCTCACACAAACAGCACAACGAGAAAAAAAATACAGAGAGAGCTAGTGGATTATAGAAATGAAATGAATATAGATATATTTATTTGACATTTCATCAAAGATAAGATCAATTTAGTCTAATTTAGGAGTTTTTCCAGTTACGAGATGAGCTCCATAGTTTATGTTGAACTTTTTTTGATTGCATGGTTTACAGAACAATACGGCTGCTAAAATCACACACTATGGGCTTTAACAAAGCCCGTTGAGGTCAGGAAGTTTCCTGTCAGCAGAAATTGGTGCTTATGTTTTTCTTATGTGAGGTTCCCATGTTTTTCGCTTACAGGCTTGTGAAGGTGTTTGGATCTGAATGGGAAAGAGCACAGTGGAGCTCACACCTGCTTCCGCCAAGGGCAGCATAGTTCAAGAGGTTCATTAAGCGGAGAGCAGAACAAGAACAAAATGAACAACAAAGCCGTGAGAAAAGAAATACCAACTTAGGAGACGGTCAGTGGGGATTTTCATCATTATGAGCAAAAACTGGGCAGAAATATATTCACAACTCAGATGAAAATAGCTGGATATCTTCAATCCCACAAAACTGACTTTAAACTCATATTTGTTTGATGATTAAGGGATTTTTGCTCTTGCAAGCCCTCCCTCAGGGCCCATTACATTCAAAGGAACACAATAAAAGCCCTGACAGCATCCTTAGGGAGAGAGGGTGGCTGGACACAGAAGGGACAAAAGCCCTTTACCGACCCCCTCGCGATCCCCCCCCTTGGCCAAGCACATCCACATGCATGCTTGACATTGTGGGAGGCGTGAACCTTGAGGTCAGAGGTCAATTTGGGTCAAGTGGGGTGAAGCCATCATAGAGTCTAAATTGAGATGTGCTGTTGAATGAGGACGTGACAGTGGAGAGGCTCTATCTAGATAAGCTGACGGGGTCACTTCAGGCTTAAATGAAGACTTGGATAGCCATGGTCATGACAGTAAATCTTGACACATGATTGAGACATAATTTTCAGTTGTTTACAGTGAATAATTTACTTGCTCTTAGATATAGATTTTTGAAATACCTTTTACTCAACAATAGGAAACATTAGCAAATACATTTATTTGCCTTTAGCAAATAAATGAAACTGTTTGTGTATATATATATATATATATATTAAATTAAAATATTTCTTTTTGTATTAAATTAAATAGCTTATTTTAAAACATTTTCTAGTGGTTTAAATCTCAGGCAGATTTAAGTCAAAAATGATTAAATATTCAAAAAATGGCTAAGAAATAACAAATATTAGTCAATAAGATTAAAAAAAAACATTATCATGTGATGTCTATTGTCTCATGGAATGGTAGATTATCAGTACAGTGTCAGGCATCAAACACATTTTCCCACAATAAATAAATAAAGATAAAGAAGTCGCTATTTCAAGTTCAGAAGATTTTGGTTTATTCATTTGGGGATGATTCATTTGGGTATGGGGGGAGGCAGAGCCAAGAAGTGCTGTGACTGTGGGTTTTGCAACAAGAACTAATTCTCTCCTATTTACTGCTTTCCTCTACATCCCTTAAGCAAATTTAGTCAATGCTGTTTTATCAGATACCAATTTGCATGATGGCAACAAGCCACAACAGACTTGCAGCTGTATCACACAGACATAGACACATGGGCTACACAAAAACATAGCCTAAAAAAACACCTTATAAAAAAACAACCCCAAATAAAAACACAAACATAGGCATAAAACACACTTTAGACACAAAATGTCACAGAGTGAATGTCTTACACACCAGCAAATCACGTTAGCACACAAATCAAAGCATTCGCTGTGTCTGTCCTCTCGCTTTTCTCTCTCTTCACACCCCCTCCGCACCTTCTCATAATAATTAAAACAGGAGGTGTCTCCACAATGCTCTTTTGTCTTAGTGCAGCACGGTGAGAGAAAGGAGTCCGGTGGCTGAATATTAATGAGGCAGGGTGTCCGTGGATAGGCTGCATGAGCAGTAGAAGAAGAAAAAAAAAAACAATGGTACTATTTCTCCTCCTACGCTTGTGGAAGGATACACCATGTGCCAAAACACCTCCGGCCACTCAGAGTTGCCAGCGGTGGGGAAATGAGCACTATGCATTGAGAAAATGTGGTATAACTAGGGTGCTGGTGTGTGTTATAATCGGGCTAGACTAGTGAAAATGCAGTGATGGATTGTGTGGCCTCTTCTAGCCACTAGGTGGAGCTGAGTGAGCTTTGAGAGAGCGGCCGGCTACCTGACTGAGCTTCATTGTTTAGCAGCTATAAACACTATCCGTCTGTATCTAAAGATGGATACTCTTGCCTTGGTCTCTGTTTTAAATATAATATAAGCCAATATGACGGTGCTGTGCTGTTTCATCCAGCATCTTTGAGAACGCTTTGTTTTCATAGGTATATACACATGTGAACATGTGAAGGTCAAGCATGGTAACCCATACTTGGAACTTGTCCTCTGCATTTAACCCATCCAAGTTTGAGTTCACCTGAAGGTCACCTTGGTCATTTCCTGACTGTATTGAGAATCAAACCCACAACTTTCGGTTAACCAGTCTGCCTCTCTAATTATTAGGCCATAACTGCCCCATATAACAATATATAACTTTTTGTTCTTATAGGCCTGTAAATGCATGTCAATGGCAGTGTTCATGGTAAATCTTTAAAATATCTGTTTAAAACAAGTTCAGCAAAGTTTTTTTAAATTTTTTTTTAATAGGGATTTGGAAAACGCTTATCATTTTCAACAAACGTTTCAATTAAATGACTCTAAAATGCCATAACATGTCATGTGGTGTAATCTTTTTCTTTTCTTTTTTCTTTCTCTATGGCATTGCAATTGCCAGGCATACTGTTTGAGCTACATTAATTATCATGAATTATTAAATAGGTATTCAAAAGTTTAAAATTTATATTTTTGAATAAATAGATCCAGACAAAAAAAAATCAAATGTGAATTATAATGTATAACCAATGTTCCTCTTAAAAGAAACACATTTCCAAGAATGCTTTCTCTAATAGACATGAATGCAATGCTGGCTCTTTCCGCCAGGCCCATGGTATGCATGTATGCAGGACCGAATCACATACGCAACCACACTGTCGCACAATGCCGTGAAATTGTTTCTTTTTAGCTTTGAGAAACACACACACAAACTTGCGAGCATACTTTTTGTGTTGCCATGCACATCTCTCACACACACTTTCTCACACTGCTACTTCCTGAGGAGACATTTTTAAAGCTGAGAGGTTGGATGTCTATCTTTGGCTCTCAGTTCTAAGCGCCCTGTGTGAGTGTGTGAGGGGCCTGTATATGAGCAAACTGCCGCCTACTCCGGCCATGACCCACAATTCCTTACAATGCCCCCATTCTCTGGACTGAAAGGCTCCATCAGCCGCAGGGGCCAGCTCTCTGGAGGGGATATGACGCCTCCCAGGATGGCATACAGAGACGGGCATCGCTGCCAGGAAACCATGGGCCTGGCGGAAAGAGCCAGCAAATGCGATGATGAGAGAAAGAGAGAGAGAGCGCTGAGAAGGCTGACGAGTAGTGAGATAGAAGGATGTGCTTGCCAATAGATGCCAAGCGTTTTGTATATGCCAGTGCCACTCAAGCCTCATTAGCCTGACTCTTTGTGCCACACTGCTCTCTGCTGTGAAGGGATGTGCAACTCACTTGCCCTGACAGAAGCATCGGATACTGGGTTTGTGTCGATCAGTCTGGATTTAGACCTTGAAGTGTTTGGTTTGAAATATTGCTGTCACTTTATTTTGATAATTTAGTCTTTTGTTATTAAATTGTAAAATTATGAAATTAAAAATAAATGTAATTTATCCGTCCATTCAAACACTAGTGTTAAAATGTAGTGTTTGCAGGTTTAAAAAAAAAAAAGAATTATATTAGGCATATTCAAACAGCAGTGTTAATATTTAGTGGTGTTTTTTTTATAAAAATATATTCTTTGACATGCATTCAAGCAGTAGTGCAAAATATGAATATGAAAACAAATATTATTTATTGAAGGCAAAAACAATGTAAATATGTAAAAATAATTCTGCTAAGACACATTTTATTTGACCAATCAAGCAAGCAGCAGTGTTTTTTTCATTAAAAAAATAATAATAAAATTCGGAGAGCCACATTGTATTTCTACATAGTCTTTAAGATGATTATTTTGAACTGATAGTGTTTATTTTGAGTATAAATTGAATTTAAAGAGAGCAAAAAGACATGTTAATCTGCAATGATGTACAGTATCTCAGAAATTGTGGCTCTTTATTTTCATGATGCATTCCTGCAAAAGACTCCAGGAAACAAACAACCCTGGTGGTTAGCCATGAGCGTGCACACACATCCATGAGCGTGCACACACAGACCAGCCTTATCAAAAAGCCCAGGGGCCGTTAGGGGCATTGAAGGGGCAGGACAGCCTGGCAGGGGGGTAGATGGGGTCCAGGTGGGGCATTAATCTTGGGGAGGATTAATCTAATAATCTAGTGATCCAATGATGAATCAAACTTCAGTGCTTGGTCTGAATCTCTGCAGCTCCAATTAACTCCAAGGGAGGGAGAGGCTGATGGACAAGTCTATTATTGGCATCTGAGAGACACTGTGAAAACTGAAAGAAATCAAAGGAAAAGTGTTCAGGAGAATTACGCCCACGCCGAGTGAATACATAGAACATGCATGGCTGGTTCAATTGTGCCCTTTTAACATTTTCCTCTAAAACCCCAAATCGCAAGGATATATATCGCAAACGACAGAAAGCATTGGCGATTATGTGAAAAACACAAATGGGCAGTTGAAAAAAGATTTGGTAATTAAATTGAATTAAATTTACACCGTTTATCTCTCTCTCTGAAAGGCATGTGCACAAAGATTTTCCCTGACTTTCGCTTGCTCAGCAAAGAGGCAATAATTGTGGGAAATACTGCTGGGTCTTTTATTTTAATCTAACGAGCTATGCTTGTTACTGGCATAATGGCAACTCTGGATCATATTTTTAAGATTTATCAACAATAATCATATATATATAAAAAATGTATTCAAACATACAAGCTAATAAATCCAGGAAAATAAAAGAGAAAAATCCATTCCTTAAGCTTGAAAAGTGCAGTCAGTGGATCAATTGAACATCATCAGATTTGGGTTTTCGACTTAATATTGCTAAAACGAGCTTCTCACATAACATTGCACGGCTGACACTGACCTGTTGTTGAAGAGTAGGCCATCAGCTTTTAGAGCCATATGTTAGAGGAGAGGACCCGGTCCCTGACCTCTGACCTCCGGCTAATTGGAGGCTTGACCCTGTTAGACAAGGACAAGCAGGTCACAAGGATGGTGGGGCGTGCTAAGGGAGGGATATGCCCCGAGGGAACACCCTAGGGACACCTCCTTATGTTTAACGTCCACCTTATGACTTATTAAGGATATGTCCATCCCACTGTGAGGTTAAACCAACATTCATCAGTTCATTCACCGCTGCCCTAAAGCCATTCATGTGAATCAGCTATATAAACTTCCCTGCTTAAACTAACATTACCATAATTTGATAATGATCACACACAATAAATCTATATGCTACAGAAGAAAAAAAAATATTAAAAGATTCCGAGGCTTTTCCTAGAGAAAATAAATGCTTTAATGGACTAGCAATTCAGATTAAGGTTTTTATTTTCTCTAATTAAAATGCATCCCGTTTGCCATATAATTAAAAATAAACAATCCAAATCTTTACGTTTTTTTCAGAACAGTTCTAGTTTATGAAGCCTTTCTTCCTGAAAGGATTATGTCATAATTAATGTTTTCATAATTAGCCTCACATCTTTGTTTCCATCTTCATTTACTTAATTTTATGAGTTCCCAGATTTTCGAAATAAATTCTCACAGAAGAATGAATTCTGAAGTGGCTGCAAAAATAAAGTGCCACTAAAATGAAATCCAAGAACAGTAGTCTACAAAATGAAATATATAGCCTACAAACGTACAAATCTCTCTCACAGCGTCGTTTTCATTGGCGACATTTATTTTGTATATGGTGTCTGCCATGTAGCTAGGTAGCTATAGGCCTACTTTTCACGAACAGCGGTTGTGATGGAGTTATGACGAGTTTTCTCTGTGAGTGACCAGTCGGAAACAGTGAATATTTAATCGTGAGTGTTCATGATCCTGTGGTGTGTAATGCTAGTGGCACGCTATCTAATTGCTAAGCTTGTTATTTGGGCCTCTCGTGCGCTCTCCGCTCCCAGCTGCCAGTGAGCAGCACCGCTTCTGATTCTTTTCACTACAAGGGATGAGAAAAACAAAATACCATTGGCAGCTGTTTGTTTATGGTTTCCCACGACTCCATGCCAATTACCTCTCGTCCCTTCTTCAGTCGCTTGTCGTCTCTCATTAGCCACCCTTCGGTTGACACGAACCCCGGAAAAAAAATGTATTGGCGAGCCCACGCTTAAGCGTTGTGTATCATAGCCATCTTCACTTCTCTGGCAAATGTTCCTCTTGCTCCAGGCCTGGCTTTGACGCAATATAACGCTACAGACATTTAGGTTCTTAAATTGAAGCACTATTGATTTTTTGCTACATGTGGATCTTTGGGGATTCAAAGGTTCTGTTGCAGGTCTAAAGGTCTTTAGAGCTGCTCATTGGTTCTTTAATAAAGTATCCGTATGCTACAGTATAGACCACAGGTGGTTTTCTACTAGCGCGACAATTTAAAAAACCTAGTTGTCTGCTAGCCTAAGTATCCTATGACATCAAGCTGTAATTAAGAACAATTATTTGTGCTGTTAATTTTTAAGAATGTGTAGATTAGACTATGTAGTTTTTAGGTCAGAGTTAGGCTACAGTAGCCTATAATATCCTCAATTTGCCTGCATTTTACAGTCTTCCTAAATTTAGGCCTTTTTAGTTGTTTTTTTTTTCTATTCGTGTAAAATTAACTAATATGAAATTAAAGCGATCTAATGTTTGTTCTGAATAAATGGGTCTCTTTTATAAAATTATCAATGCACAAACTTCTGTATGAATTTAAGTGACCCTCATGCATCATAACTGCATGTGAGATTTTCCTTTTATGTAGCCTATTCAGCTTTTGATGCAAAATAATATTATTGTAGGCTACAAAAACTTTCTGTTTTAGTGGCATTTTCTGGCTATAACAATATATTTGCCTTCATCCTAATTCGATTTCTCGTTAAAAATTAAGCAACTTGGTCTATTTCACGACATTTTAGAAACCTAAAAGGATACTGATAGGTGCCAACTGGTTAATACAGTTTGCATTCAAACGAAAATAATCAATCAATAATTAATTTTAATATTTGAAGAAAATTATCAAATACACTATTGCTGTGTGATCATAGCCTTGCTATTTTTAACACGTTTGCACATTTGCAGCTCCTCGGTTAAGGCCTAAATGAACCACATTCACAAATAATTATTTATCTGGCATGTAAGCCTGCAAAGGCCATCCAACTGCAACGAATATTATAACGAAAATATGTCTTTAAATTGATTTTTACGTGTCAGTCACTCGGAAATGAATCTGCATCCCCCCCTCCCAATCACAAACCTTATTTGCGTTTAGAAAATCACTGGGTTTATTTGCCTCACTCTGATTGGCTGGAACGAATATCAGCGGGTCCGTGAATGATCTCATTGCCTTCATTTACTATTTTCCGGTTTTTAATTGGGTCCTGCCGTGTATAGAATGCGCAGAGGCGCAGTAAACAAAAGGCGCTTTACTTTGATGCGAGGGAATCTGTGAGAACTGGTAGCCTGTGTTTTAATCCCGTTGACCCTGTGTGTTGTTAGTTGAGGCTGACGTCACATAATTCCTCGGTGGATAAAAATTAAGATGCGTGCGCACTAATGAGGGCGCCTCTCTCCCAATACAGGCATGATGAAGTTCCACACCGGGAACCGTATGGCCTCGCAATTGTTTATAAAATCAAAAGAACGAAAAAAAAAAAAAAAAAAAAAAGTTCTGGAAAAAAAAAAGGACGTGGTTTAATTGGGTTGATTGGGTTGCGCTGTAGGCTAAGAGCTTCTCAGTGTTTTATTTCTATTTAATATAAAAATAAGCTATTTACATAAAATACGTTTTATTATGTATTCATGTTTATCTATTTTATATTTATATTTAAGGCTATTTAGTTTAATTATTAGCATTAGGCCTATAGCCTATTGCTTCTAATCCCAATAAGAGTGCTTATTACTTATTATTATCCTATTTATTATTTATTAATTATTAGTATACTATGGTTGGCCTATTTGCTCTGTATTTTTAACATCAAACAAATGCACACCCATTTAATGATGCACAACAAAGCACAATTTATTATTACAGCATATACAACAGGCATAAGTAATAGCTTAGAAATAGACAAATGCACTGAGAATGGGCTGATGCAACAGTGCATATAAAGTGTTTGCGTTGCTTTCACACAATTATTGGTTTATTTATAATTCTAATTGACTTGTAGAATATTTATGATCTGTGTTAGGTGGTGGTCAAAATTGAAGAGTTTTGAGGTCGCAATTCAGTGATGGAGGCAAACCGATCAGTGTCTGTTCTGATCACTCACTGTTATGTGTGTCACTGCTATAAGTTATTGCCGCCAAGTTGGTGGTATTAACCCGTTCGTCCCCGCGCGCTGCTATCACGGTTGCTACAGAGAGAAACCAGTCAGGCTTTGTGATTTCCCAGACACACCCTGCGGCTGCGCGCGGATTCGCTTCATTACAATTTCACGGATTGTCACGTCAATGACAGCGTCTAAACCCTTCGTTGATCGTGAAGTTATGTGAACTGTTTCTTTGAATGTATCCCAACTACACGTTTAACAGCTGTAAAGCTTGTTATTAAAATTAGATAGGCTATATAGTCTATGTGTGTTTTAGCTGTCTACTTTAGAAAACGACAAAGTGGGAATACAAATGTGAGGGAATTGGGGAAGGGTGAGGTTTGAGTTTCCAAACGGGTTCTTTTTATTGGCTGGAAGTTTAGGCTAATGGATTTATTTCTTTTTTTTTTTTTTTTTCTAGAAGTGGGCTCCAAATCATCAAATTTTCACACACCAGTCAAAACCAGTCACATGGGTCAATTTTTTTTTTTTTGAGATATTGAGATTTATAAATCTGAAAGCTGAATAAATAAGCTTTTAATTGATAGCCTATGGTTTGGATATGACAATATTTGGCCAATAACTATTTGAGAGTCTGGGTTCTGAGGCTGCAAAAAACTCGAAACATTGAAAAAATTGTGCTGCAATGTGCTGCATTCACTCGCACAAATATTTTTTTATATGTATTTATGGTAGGAAATTTGCAAAATATCTTCTTGGAACATGATCTTTATTTAATATCCTGATTTTTGTCATAGCTAAATGAAAAATCAGTAATTTTTGACCCATACAATGTATTGTGGCTATTGCCACAAATATACCCTTGCGACTTGTGACTGGTTTTGTGATCCAGGGTCACACATTTATATATATATATCTTTATTTCTAAATGTAAACATCCCCAAAAGGAGGTTTTGTCAGGTTTAGATCACACTGAATTTTTTCTGTAAGGGTTAGGTTAAGCGGAACGTAATGTTTGTACAGCATAAAAATCATTATGTCTATTAACAAGTCTTCACAAATCCCTAAAACCAAAAGTCTGTATGTGTGTGTGTGTGCGTTAACACGTTATTTATGTTTTACGAAAAGCTTTTTCCATTATTATATACTCCAGACAGGAAAAACCATCATTATTATCTATTAGGTGCTTTCATTAGAAATAGATTTTTGTCATTACCCTTTTTGCTGATTGTGTGTTTAAATTCTTTAGAGAGAAATTTTTGATGCATCTTGATGCTTAAAGATGGCATGGACTAAAGTAACCTTCCATCTTTTCCCTCAAATGGTCAGACAGTACAAAAAAGTTCTCTCCATTCTCTTATACTGACGCTACTTTAACCTAATGTACATGGAAAAAATCTGAAATCTATATGCTGGAGTTTACAGCCTTAATGTGATTCGATAGCATGACTTGTTTGAAAGAAACAATCCGGTCTCATTGAAAATGGCCTCAAAAATCTTTCATTCGTGTCTAGACGTCCCTCTTTTCACATAGTCTGTAAAGTCTCGGCCTGCCATCATTACTCTCTCCAGAAGGCTAAGCGATATTTCACTTTTTATCCATCCTTGACACATACCGTCAGTCACCACCCACTTCCCAGGATGCTCATGGAGGATGTTACCCAGTGCCATCAGGGAGCCCCAAAACTCTGCATCAGACAGAGATGGGGGTGCATGGGTATGGAAATTAGCATGAGAAAGCCACCCATCTTAGTGTGCTTGTTTGACCTTTCACCCCTTCTCTTTATGCTTCTCAGACAGAAAACTGGTGTTTCTGCACCGTGCCCTGCTACATCCTCATGGTGACAGGTTTGTCTGAAATATCGGAACTAAATTGGATATGAGTAAGTTGAGTTTCAAGTAAAGTGTTTGTCTGCTCATCACACAATTTGATATGAAATAAGTCAACCCCCGACCGACACACCCCACCCCACCCCACACACACACACTCCATAAACACGTGCACACATGCACAAGGGGCAACACGCTCCCACACTCTTTCCCAGACAGTCTGGAGGACTCCATCTCATTTGCTTTTCTTCTACTCTGCTCTCTGTCTGCGGCCCCTTTTCACGTCTGTGCTTTAATTAAGGGTTCCAGCCCCCTAAAAGTGTCATTGTGGAGTGCAGCCAGTGTTCTGGCCCTCCGTTTTATGTGTGTTCCTGTCTGTCTTCCGCTTAATCCAGAGACCATATGTGATATATTAGAGACAGCATTAAGGAGCACTCTGAGACTTCTTCAAGTGACCACGGTGGCTATCCTGTGTCTACAGCATCCCGGCACAGAGAAAACCTTTCCCATCAAATCTCATGTCACTCCATGCTAATGAATGGATGGCATTTTGTGGGAACCTCTGAAAAAAATCACAACATAAATTTTGAATGATGCTTCCCATTACATTTAGTCTTCAACGGATAGTTCGCACAAAAATAAAAATTCTGGGTAACACTTTTTACAGTGTAATTTCTGCACGTTACATGTAGTTACTAACTATAAATTATGCATAATTACATGCAACAAACCCTAATCCCAACCCTACTTAATATTTCTCAGTACTTAAATGTATAATTACAGTGTAATAAGGACGCCTTAAAATTAACCAATTCTGTCATAAATTATTCACCCACATGTCTTTCCAAAACTGTGACTTTCTTCTATGAAATATGAAGAAATATGTGGTGGGTTTATTTTGTCTATAAAATGGAAGTCAATGGTAACTAAAACTGTCTTCAACATTCTTCAAAATATTTTCTCTTGTGGTGTATAGAAAACAAAATAATACAGTACAAACATGATGAGAATATTTGGGTGAACGATTCCTTTAAATACTTACTGTAATATGTGCGTTTATTGGCAAATCTTAAGTGTAACTTAAGACCATGATTTATTCTATTATCTTCTATTATGATTTTTGATTCCTTCTCAAACATCTGAAATTAAATACCATTTTAGTTTGGTATTAGAAGTGCTATGCTGAACTTAAAAAAAAATTATTCCCCCCTCCCCTGTTTTATTAATCCTGGTTGAGTTTAATCAGTCACTGTTTAACCAGCAGATTTAAGTTTAATTCAGATTCCTAAAGGATTTGCTTCTCCTAGAGAGGTAGGGAGTTGTGTTGAGGAAATGACCGTGAGGGTCCCAATAGATGCTGTCCAGTCCTCAACTATTGCGGGAGGTCAGTGAACAAATAACATTGACACTGTTACAAATTATTATTTTTTTCATTATGCTATACTTATGAAAGAATCCAAAAACGACAGCGCCTCAGTCCCCTGTCAATCAGCTCAGTACCGGGACATACCTGCGTTCTGCTTCTGAAACACTCTTTTAATTGGGCTTGTGGAATGAAATGTTAACATCTGGATTCATTGTTTGAATGTAACTGTTAGTCCAGATTTAGATGTAACATCAATATATCAACATATATACAGATTATGGACCTTCACATACAGTATTGCATCAGTCAGTTAGAGATTGAACTTCACAGTACACAATTCACATTTGTGAGCATATTAATGTATTCAAGAGGTGTTGTAGGTGTGTGTGAGTGAGAGACAGAGAGAGAGAGAGAGAGAGAGAGTGAGCGGTGCATGGCACAAGTGTGTTTGTTTGTTTGTGCGTTGGCATATATTTGTGTTCTGTGCGTGTGTGTGTGCTCACAAGTGTTGTTCTCTGCTGCAGACCTCTTTCCTCTCAGTGCCATCAGTTGCTACGGCAACCAGGAGGCAGCATGAAAGCTAGTGAGAGAAGACCGAGAGAGAGAGAGAGAGAGAGAGAGAGAGAGAGGTGGAGCATGGCACAAAGCCAACTCGCAGCAGCTGTGGAACAGCACTGGGACGCTGGGCACGTTCTCTGGGTGTGGGTGAGAGACTGTACGAGTGTGTGTGTGTGTGTGTGTGTGGTCCTGTCCATCAGCACATAATAATACACCAAATCATATACTGTAGGTAAAAAAATTTCATTTTTACAATCCTTCATCTGTTGCAAGATTCACTGTTATATCTGTAAACAAATCCTGATAATCAGCGAATTTGTTGCTCTATTGTTTCAACAAATTAATAGGCATCCTATATGCATGTCTATCAGCAAGTGACAGGCGTTTTTACTAATTCACCATTAGCACAGTTCCTCTGACATCATGACTAGCTGATTTACAAACACAAATAAGCATATAAATGTAAGTAGACAAAATAATTTTAAAGACATAGGCCTATGCTACAAAAGACAAGAAGAAAAACTGACATCAGGTCTTTGAAGGGTTTAGGTCAAAATTTCTAGATGATAAAGTCTAGATTTCATCTTCAGACATTATTGAACAACATATGAGATCAAGAATGTAAAAAATGTGGCATGAAAATAATAAAACCCATAATAAAACCGCCCTTAATAAAACTCTGTTCCCATCTCAGAGTGAAATATTAAAAAGATAATTGTGAAAAAGGCACATTGGGAGATATAATTGTTTTAATTGGGAGATAAAGTCACAGTTTATGTTTGTTTGTATTCATGTATTTATTTTTACTGTGAGGCAGAATTAGGCTCTCATGTAAACAACCTATTAAGTCAACAAAATAAGTTGCATAAACATCAGCTCATTGCAGAGACTGTATTGAGGGAATGCTGTGTGGGCTGGGAAATGTGTGAATTTGGTTATGTGAATATTTTTGTTTGTGTGTGTGTGTGTGTGTGCATTCAACCTCATTTACATGGCCAGACAATGAGAATGGCCTTGAACTTGACCTCAGGTCTGTTCTCTTGTTTCTCTCCTCCTTCTCACCCTTAAACTCTCATTGTCGCGTTGTCTGCATTGACTCCTCTCTCCAGTCCCTCGTCATTCACACCATCACGGCGGGCGGGGATGACCTCTTCCCTGCTGCACACGCCCATTGGGGCTGTTCGCTTTCCCATGAGGCAAATCCAGGGTTCGAATTCCTTTCCCACATCCTCCATCTTGTATTTACTTGTTTTTTTTTTCTTGTTTTTTTTTTAGCCGAGTGACTTCAGCAGTTTGAACAGGATTTGCAAACCAGGCAGACAGCGAGTCAGACAGCTCAGGACTGGAGTGGAGCTGTCGAAGACACAATGAAATGGTGATTTATGAGGATATAAGTGCTGTTTGATAAATCATATCATGGTGATCATGAACTCTGCTTTCCCAGATTTCATCACAATGACCTTACTGTTTAGTAACCACTACATCTGATATTGGGTTTAATCTCAATGCATTACATGACAACATAACAGTTTTATTAAAAACTTAATTATAATAATTTGAACAGGTACTTTTATGTTAGATTGTAGATAATATATAATTAATGCAGTCTCCTATTTCTTTCTTTCAGGATTTATCATCTGTATCAGTATTTGAAATCTTTAGACATTCCCTTTAATTTCACGTAATATTTTCTTTCTGTCATCAATGTGATAATTCTTTGGTACTATTCTCACAGTTATGCAGTTTATATTAAAAGCTATACATATGAAGAGTTCAGATGCAAAAGCCTCTAAATGCCATTTGAAATTTTCTTCTTTAATGATGATGTTTATAAAACATGTATATTTAAGTTCAGTGATTTCACTTAAATAACAATTAATAGGTAATTATCATTGCCATTTAAGTGAAATTACTGAACTTAAATATACAAGTTTGATAAAAATCATCATTAAAGAAGAAAATTTCAAATGGCATTTAGAGGCTTTTGCATCTGAACTCTTCATATATTTTATAAATTATTTTACTCAAAATTTATATTTAAATCTAAACCAGATTTAATGATAATGCTATCTTTTTTGTTTGGGCCCTGTGTCATTAACCCCAGCAAATCAAAGAGCAATATTTTTTCTTGACGTAACTTCAGTTTTTTTTTCTGAAGTAACTTCAGTTTTGATTTACTCACAGTGATGACAGGAATTGTTCAACATTTGATTAAGATGGGGATTTAAAGACTGTCATCAGCGTGAGCTGGGAATCAAGGCTGTGTCCTAAAGCTAGAAATGCTGTCTTCACACATAGAGCATTATGGAGGAATACAACAAGCCAATCTAATGTGGTCAGATTAATATCAGATGTGTGCAGTCCCAGGTTTAGCCACCAATAGCATGTTTGTTTTCAATTTTATTAATATCCCTAACATGGCATGGCACTGTAAAAGGGCACATGTAGAACTACAGAATTATTATAAACAAAAGTGATAGGCCTATTGTAAAAATTACAGACCTAATTAGTAAATATTAGATATTTAAATTAAATATTAGGCTAATAAAATATAATACTATTCTTTAAGTGAATTTACACTTTAAGTAACTTTTGGCCCTCTAGCAGTTAAAAAACAAAACTGTCCATTTTTTGAAAAACATTGTTTTGGTTGCGCTTCTGCTCTGCGTGACTGTGCAGTGGTGCAGATATGACATCACTTTGTATGCCTGTTAGCAGTTTTGCACTTCCGGTTCCATCGTCCCCAGTCAACGAGGCTTTGGTTAAATGGCTGAAATGTGGTCTGTGATGAACACAAGCTCAAGACACTTTCACGTTTTATTCTCCGACATAAAATACATCAATATTACCCCACTCGTGTTTTTTTAAGCAGGCATTTGCTAACAAGTGGCTAAATGGGACTACAGAGAGGCCGTTGGGGAATTAAAACGTCATCACGCCAAAAAGGTAAACCGCTTTTACAACATTGTTATGGTTGTAATTTTGCTCTTACAAACTATTCTAACTCAAACGTTCTGGGAAAATGTTTTCAGATAAAAAACAAAAAAAAAACGAAAGTGTTGTCGGTGATAGTGACATTGAATTTGTAGAACCGTGGTGTAGTTACCTTTAGCCTAGCTTTTTACCTCTGTCGGCTGCATTAGGCTTCAAAATTCATCGGTGAAAATTATCTTTAAAAAAACGTGCAGGTATCATAAACTTTTGTTGATCACAGATAAGAGCTTTGTTTTTAGCTAATCCAAAAGCCTATGGGAAAATCCTGGGTTTTTGTATGGGAACTAGCAACTGCTGATTGGCCTACAAAGTGATGTTAGAGAGCTACAAAATGGCAATTATTTGTTTAGTATAGACCGTTTTGCAAGATGTAAACAACACTGGTCCAGAAGCACTTCCTGTTTCAGTTTTTTAACACTACACAAAAGCTGGGATTAAAATACAACCAACAGAACATGTAAAACTGAATCAAAAAGTTAAACAACATCTTTAAGATGTTTTCTGTACATGTGAAATAAAGAAAACAGTTACAAACTGAAACAGGAAGTGTTTCTGGACCAGTGTTGTTTACATCTAGCAAAATGGTCTATACCTCACGCACCTGTTAAGTAATAGAAACGCTATCTCTGTTGCTTTTACAACATTTTAAATCCCTCAGTTATCTCCAAAAAACCAAGCCAATGTTTATTCTTGTGTTATTACAAGCTCTGTCGTGTTCTATTTTTCCAGCAGATGCTCTTCTGTTTTTTGTATAATTAGTGATTCCCCAGAAGTTACAGATTTAGAGTGCCTCATGTAAACCTCTCTCACTCATAACAAATAAACTATGCCACTCCCAAACTAAACATGTGTTGTCCTTTAAGCAACTTTTCACTAGTATGTACTGATATGAGGAGACATGCACAGGTGAGTGACATGTGTATGCAAACAGGCTTACCATAGTGAATCTGGATAAGACACAAACACGTTTTAGAAGAAGGACTGATGATGTTTTTAATTTAATTAATTGATGTTGTTGTTAATTTAAATAATGTGTAGGCTACCTATTAAAAATGCAAAAATAAAATGTTTGAAGTTATGGTCACTTTTAAGCCTGTCTGAAGCCAGTTAATTAACAAACTGCTGACAGTTTAGTCATGGAATGACTGAGGAGGTTAAGTAATCCATGGAGGAATATTTGTTTCTGTCTTTCAGTTACTTCCCTGGTTTACATTGAAATGACAGCAGTGTTTTGTAAGAAGATGCTTTGGTAAGTGGGTGTATCGCACTCCCTGTCCTGTTCTGTTCTGCTTTGTTCTCTTTGCAGCCCAGAGGGCACAGCGACCACCATTTGCTGCGCACTGTCTCTTTCACTTCTGCAAGTTATGCTATTGAATGTGTTCCTTTTACTGAAATTTTGTAATATTTTGTACTCTTCATAACAAAAATCCTTTTCTAAAAGTCCAAAAAGTATTGGCATGAGGCCAGTGCTGTTATATATCAGTCTAGAAACGTGTTGACAGCTCTAGAAAATTAATAATCTTAGTTTTTGGTTGTTTAATTGACTGGTTAAAATTCAGGCACAGTCTCAGTGTTCCACCAATCAGCAGCATTGTGACATATAGTACACTAATGCACCTTGTCTCCTGGCACACAGCCACACAGATTGTAAGCTGCTCTGAGCGGCCAAGAAATGTTGTTGGATTGTAATGCTGAATACTGGATGAAAGACTGGATCTGGTTTATTGCTGGTTGAATAACCCCTTAACAAATCCAAAATCGTTGAAAGAAAATTCAGCCAGACTTATACCTGCTTCCACCATCGGTTTATGGTGCCTTCAGGATTCTAGAATTTAATCAGATACATTTTAGATTTGTTCTCACTTTGCAGTCCCAAAATCTTAGCGACAACAGCAGCACAAATTTGTTTTAAAAGTAAACTTTTATTAATATCCATAACAGGACATTGTTAAAAGGCACGTGTGGCAATACAGAAAATATTTCAAGGTGAACAAAAATATTACACATTTGCATTTCACAGTAAGGGAAAGAATTAAACTAAATCATTACAAAATATTATTTTAATCGTTATCATTATCATTACAGTACTCTAGCTGAAAATCATAACTCTAGATAATCACAGGAAAGTATAGAAGTTAAAGAATTGCATAGTAAAAGGCCTCATTTCATCGATCCATTGTCTTCACAATTACTTGATTTGTCAAAAAAAATTACAAAATAGATTGCACAAGTCTCTTCAAATTGTAAATAATTCTTAAAACATTTGCATATTCAATACTGAATTTTCTCTTCAGCTATGATTGATTGTAACACAAAATACAGAGAGACATTTAGAGAGCATTTAATACCCCTTAAAATTGTTTCTATTTTGAGTGCTGAAAGAAACAAAAATGAAAAACACAAAAGCTAGTTGAAGATGCTTTTAGTGGTCAGTGACTTCACAGTCAGTTGGAGTCGGTGGAGTTAAATATTCATATTTATTCAGCTAAATATTCCCCTCACCTTAACCAGTAAGTCATAAATAGCTGCTCTGATCTGCCTTCTCTTCCTGGTGATTGCAAGCCCAACGCAATTGCATAGAAATTAAAGACAACAGCTCTCTGTCCAACAAGTGTGTTACGTACAACACACTGAGCTGTCCAATCAGAGTGCAGTATCGTTCACTGCTGCCGTGGGTCTCACACTCATACATGCAGAATCTACAGAGCCTCACTCGTTATTTCTAATAATTCATGTTAAATTTCAGTTAGTAATCAGTTGTTGGAGAAATACATATTATACACAGGCCACTACATTGTCCTTTAATATTGAAAACTATTGAACTAAAATAAATCGTTTTGTGCTTTATAAAGTGCATTATGCTAAAGATTGTACCAAGACAGCCTTGTTAAACTGTTAAAAATTTGTATGATCTATAGGCTAAACCTAATCATTCACACAATATTGTCTCTTAAAGATTATTTTTATCAAAATGTACCAAAATGGTTGGCATTTAAAAATGACATTTTCTACAAAACCTCATTGAATTAGAAATACCCCAATAAAAAAAAAATGACTTGGAGAATTCCAAACTAGCGTATTTGTACAAATACACAATTCGTTAGCTTAAGTACTTTGACCCTGACCCGTACAAAGAAAGACATAAGTTTCTCACATATTTTTTAACACACACATACACATGCTTGGCTCGCAAAAATATAGCCATTAGAACTGAAGGCTCTAAAACTGCTTCACAAATGCAAAGTTTGAAGTCATATTATAGAACAAATAAAGTGCTGTTATCTTATGTTGGGGCACGTGCATAATAAAGTAACCCGTTTCACTCCTTCAGCCATCTGTATGAACGTTCCTCCCTTTAATGGATTTCACGTTGTTTGACTTGACTCCAAAAGCCTGAAAAGACACAAAAGAAACAGGAAACGTGAAATTAGTGAAATAATATTTTTGATGATTGAACCATTTTAATTCAAATCAGAATATACATTTGATTACTGAAAATTGTCGGTTTATCTCTTTAGGACTGTTTTTGTTGTTCTATTATTGGATTTTAATGAGTTTTTTTTTCTGTTTTGTAGAGTTCATCAATAAATTAGCAGAAGGCAAACTCCTCAATCAGCTGTGACTCAGCGAGTGCCAGTTTAAAGAGATTGAGGCCGAAGTTGACGGTGCCTCTGCTCTTGGTACGACGTGGAACAGGAGCAAAGAGGAGGCATGTGACACAACCTAAGCCTGGAGAACTCCAGAGTTTAGTCACTCCACGCGGCTCAGACAAGCAACTCGAGGTGTGCAGGTGATTAACAATGTAAGGAGGCAAGAGCTGATCAAACACCCGCTTTTTTCCTGTATTTATGGGGTGGCAATGAATCTATCTTTGTTTGGCTGTCGGAAAATTGGATAAGTGTGAGTGGAAGTTTTGGCATGATGGTCAGGCTGGTATCTTTAAGCCAAATGTTTTGCAAAAAAAAAAATGGCGCCTTGGCTTTCATTCTTTCTTTCGTTATTTCCCTCTCTCCCTCCGGTTGTCTTCCCTAAATGAATGCTCATTGGAGTGTTACTGTGTCTCTGTCTCCCTCCTCCTGTCCCGACTGAATAGAAGAGTGAATTGAGCAAACAGTCAGCCTGTCAGCTCAATAGGCAGTCTGACCATGAACTCTGAGTCCTTCCCAGGCACCCAGCATCATCGTCAGGAGGGGGAGGGAGAGACGGAGGGGGTGGGGGGGATAGACAGACTCAGACTTTGGGGGGCCCGGTGCCCATTTTTTGGGGGAGCCTCGTCGTGGTGGTTCCCAAGGCTGGTGCCTGCGTGAAGAGGCGAGAGCAGCTGCTCAGAAAAGGGGAGCCTTGTGTGTATGTGTGTGTGCAGACGGTAGATTGTCTGCCCCTTTGCCCAAACCCCAGCCACCTCGCACGCTCCCAGACGCAAGCTGCCGCAGATTCTTTGCTTCTTTTTTTTTATCTGATGTGCTTTGGCTTTGTTTTTACTGTGCATAATTTACTGTGCCGTCCCTCTCAGCCGCTCTTCTCCCTGTTTGCCACCTGTTTACTACGGTGCACTTAGATTACTAAAAACAATGACTTGATTGTAGACCCAGTGTGACTGCAATCCTTTAATTCTCTGCTACCGGCATAAAGAGTTTTGTCACTCGTCAACAATAAAATCTTTGTTTTGGAATGACATATTTAATGTGATAAAAACGAAAAGAGGATATTATTGTTCCATTGCTCCTGTCATTTTGCTAGATGGTAGTTTTTGGACGGTTACATTTGTAGTTTGTTGTAGGAAAAGTCTTTGTGTAGCTGTTCTGCAAGTTTGATATGCTCACATTAACATTTATTTCTTGTGGTTGCACTAGATATATACACTAACGTTAAAAAGTTTGGATCTTTAAAAAGACATTGGTACTTTTATTCCATAAGAATGTTTTGAATTAATAAAAAGGTGACAGTAAAGATATTTATAATGTTACAAAAGATTTCTATTTCAAATATTCTGTTCTTTGGAACTTTCCATTCAGAAAAGAATTCCCCAAAAAATGTATCACAGTTTTCATAAAAAATATTATGCAGCACAACGGTTTTAAACATTGATATAATAAGAAATGTTTCTTGAGCAGCAAATCAGCATAATAGAAGGATTTCTGAAGACTGGAGTATATTTGCCATCACAGGAATAAATTATTTTTTTATATATATTCAAATAGCAAAAAAAATAGTTAATTTAAATTGTAATAATATTTCATAATAATACAGTTTTTACTGTATTTTTAATCAAATAAATTCAGCCTTGGTGAGCATAAGACACTTATTTAAAAAAATATTTTAAAATCTTACTGCCCCCAAACTTTTGAACAGTAGTTTCTGATGGAGACCTAAAAAGGGACTGTAAAAAGTCATTGGAATACAATGCTACATTTGCAAAGAATTGTTTTTGGACATGTCATGGTACTATCATGGTGTCATATCATGAAGGTAAGGTACCAAGTAAATACCATCACATGGCACCACAGTACTTTTCTGTAAGTGTACACAGCTAGCATACACCTTCTCCTCTTAAACAGAGAGACTGAGCTCTGAACATCGCTATTAACACGCTAGTCCTCCACTGTATCTCCTAACTCTGGCTATTGTCTGGACTTTCAGTGATGGGACCTGAACAAAGGCGGCCCTCTAAGAGAATGAAGGACAATGGACTGTATTGTTTACTTAGCTACCTCACTTAATCAGGCACAGCCGGCTCTAATTGGTGTTTTGGTTAAGCGGTTTTTAAACTTATAGCTTCCTGGCCTTAATAACAATGCTCCACAGCAAGCTCGCCACAGAGAACAATACTGGACTTGTCTGGCCCGCGACTCTTAGAAACCAAGATGTACAAAAGAGAGCCCGTCATTATTGAGACCTCTCCATCACGCACCCTCCTTCTACTTCTCCGACTTTGCTCTCTCTTAGCATGTTTTTGCTATTAGTTTGCCTTTAAATAAAGGCTGAATAATCCAAGATGGTTTCTAGTTATGTAAAACTAACAACGGCGATCCATTTTTCTCATTCAAGCTCAAGCTCTCTCATGGGAAAGCTAATATCATGAGGACTATGGCTAAAAGCTGGAGAGAAGGCTTGCTGTTCTTCTCAATAATGGCAGCACGCCATCGCCGTGGCTGGCATGGTACGGCGACGGGGCAGCAGAATCCCTGATGGCGATCTATTCAACGTTGATGCCCGCAGATGCAGCCCTGCTTCAGCCATTGTGCCGAGGAATGATTTAATGCAAACGACTACAAAACATCTCCCCACCCCCTTCAGCGCCTATCACAACCAGGACGTGTGATATTCACAATTAACAAACACATCTGCTGTAATGAACAGTGCCTTCGAGCAGGGGGGGGGGGGGGGGAGAGAGGGACAGCGTGTGTAAAATAGAAGAGGAGAGAAAGAGGATGGTGTGAGATGCAGGAGAGTGATGGTGGGTCATACCTGCTTATTTTCCACTTCCATTTAATGCCCGCATGTTCTAAGATGGTGGCTTTGTGCAAACTGCATCTTGTGACAGGAGGAAGGGGGCAAGCGAGAAGCGAAGGGGAGGGGAGCGGCAACACCATCAGGACGACAGCCACACAACCGACCTTCTTCACTCTTTCCATTCCCTGGCATCAAGGATGGCTGGTCTGTACGAGAATGAAAATGGAAAGATGAAGGAAGAAGGGTATAAATGCATCAGCATGTGAGGGCATAAGCACGATCGGGCATGCGCACACACACGCACACCTTTTCATGTCTGTTCTCATGGTAAAGTCTGCCTTGAGCATGCAAATGACTTTCATTATGCAAATGCATGCAAATCAGACCCAACCATCTGAGAATCAAGGCTGGGAAAAAATCTACACAGAGATATTGAATGAAAGAGACAGAGTTAAGATAAATCCTTTGGGTGGCAGGAGGCGGCTAACAGAACTAAACGCTGTGTGGAGGAACAAGGGTGTCCCAGAGAGCACAAAAATCGCCGTTTAAGATTATAACACACCCTTTCTTTGTGGTGATTTAGTGTGCGCACAAAAACACAAACCTTATTTGAGTACTAAAATGCAGTCTTCACAATATCTATAGCTACTGATCCGTGTCATAGTGCTAAATTAATCGGTAAAAGTTGCTCTATAAGTGTGCATGTTGACCACCTGCTGTAGGAGCTCTGGAAGTTTAATGGAGAATGAATTGGAAGTCATATACACCAGGGAATGTTACAGTCAGACAAAGACAACGTTTTTCCAGCCATTTTTATTTTGTATATATTTAAAATATATAATATTTTATATAAGTTTAACATTTTTATATTGAATTTTATACAATTTAAAAATGGCTATAACATATATATTATTGTATTATTTTATATGAATAATTGTGCCCCTATATATATATTTTAATAATTATGGTTAATTTTGATTATATGTTTTTATAATTTATATACAATTTTATTTAAATGTTTCTTTATTATATATCATATTTTGGATTATATATATGCTTGTACTTTTTGGTCAGTGACTGGTAGTTTTGTCAGGTGACCAGAAAGAAAAAATGAATTCTTACAAGTCTCTTGCCACAGTGGCTGCCACATAAGGCAAAACTACCAGCCACTGACCAAAAAGTACCAGGATTACTATTACAAGTACCAGCTATAAAGCCCTATCTGACAGATTCATATTTGAGGCAGATCTGCAGAGGGATGGACTATGAATCCCTGATAATCTCAGAATCTGAGGGAGTCTTTATTATCTGATGGATGGTCCCACATTGGGAAACTTTGCAGCATGGCAGGCTAGTCTTTGCTTAGGTAGTTTCTTTCATTTCTCTGAGGTAGCTGAGGTAGGGGTGGTCTTTGTTGTCAGGTGCCGTTAACCAGGCCGGAGTGTGAGAGAGTTGGCTGAGGGGTAAAAAAAAGAGTGGGATTGGAGGGGTGGGGTCCTGCTGAAAGGCAGCAAACCTTCTCTAATTGGCACTTGACATTTTTTTTTAGCTGTGGCTGGATAAAGTGGACCCTCTTTCAAGTCCACTCCAAACACTTGCTGGAAAAGTGCCTTATGCAAATACTACAAATAGGAACCATTGTCGGACGTCTGACATTAACAGCTGAGGTAACAATATGACTGTGGGCATGTAGGTGTGTTGAAGAGAGCACAGGACAATGTGGCAGAGAGTGGACAACATGTGAAAAGCCATCCAAATGATGCTTCAGTGGGGGGGGTCATTTCACCAGAGCGAGTACTAGTTCGCTGTGCCAAGCTTTTAAAAGAATGGCCCATTAAACTTGGACAATCAAGCAGATGTTTGATTTTACAACATCTAAATATTTGTTTTCTTTAACTGCTCCTCCAATAACATTTCTGAAAAATATGAGAGTAAATAATTCATATGGCAGCATTCAATATTATTGCCATGTTCACATTCAGCTATTTTCAGACAGTCTAAACACGAACCCATTGTGGAATTACCCATTCATTCCTACATTTAAATGTCTAAACGAGAACAGTGTGGTCTTCTTGTCGCCATACAGCATGTGTGATGAATCAGCCTTTCATGTAGTCAGGATAACGTTTGGCTACACCTGTTACTGCTGAGTGTTTAATCCCTTTTGTGTGTGTGGGCCCATTGACTTCTCTAACAGCCTAAAGGGAATTCACAGTTCTATGGGGCGACGTCGTGGCGGGAGGGGGTCAGAGAGAACGGTGTCTATTCCTCAGTTTCCTCTCCAACAGTGCAGCCATTTTGGGGCTCGGTTGGTGAGTTCCGTCCAAAGAAAGAGAAGCATTGCCGGGGGCAGGAATCAGAGCGACGCTCACCAAAAGCGGCCTGGCTGATGTGACTGGGACGCTGTCAAAAGGTTGGTAAAGGAATCCATTGTCTCTGTGACAAGTGGCCTGGCTCTATTGACCATACAGTTGGCGGGAGAGGGGAGGAGGGTGGTAATAATAAGGGCACAATGCCTGTTTTTCTAGTTGACACTTGATGTCCGAAATGCTAAGTGCAAGAAAACTGCCGTTCGTGTTTTTCCTTCCTGTTCCTCTGTTCCCTTCTCTCCAGACAGTTTGATTAGACTGCCAATCTTTATTCCTCACAGGCCGTGACGTATCCAACCTAAATGCTACCTTCTACCTTTATGCTAAATAGTCATGGTATGCTAAACATTTAAGTAAGTTGCCACAAAGAATCACATCAATATCATTAACATACACCTAAAAGATGTACTTGTAGATCTTTCTTTTGTACCACTTTTAAGCACATTTTATAAATGTACGTCATTTATAGTTTACTTTACAGGTAAAATGGACATTTCGGATGGATGGAGTGATGCAAATCAAGACAATGATTGATCAGATTTGCTGCATAGGTAAGTGCGCTATATGAAATGCTGTTTAGGTATTTTTGACAATAAAGATGTTAATACTGTTAAGGACAAATCAAATTCAGAGTTTGTCACATGTTATTGCAGGGAAACTACACTGTAAAAAAAATTATTTACATTTTTTTTCTTTTATCAAATCAACTTACTTAATTCAGATAACATTATTTTGAGTTTTAAAGATTAAACTAATCTCCATTGTATCAACTATCAATTTTTTATTTATTTTTTTGAATTTCAATGAACTTAAAAATTAAGGCAACCAGGTTTTTTAAGTTGAACCAACAATATATTTTACAGTGTATGAGCTTCGTAAAGTTCTGGCCATATGCATTCGTGGAATTGCAAAATGTGACAATCGTATGCGAATCGCAGCTTTTTTCAGTAGTTTCAATAAACTGCTCTGTAGAAACTGCATGGTTTGAAATATTTTGTCATTGGAGGACACAATCTACCCAATGCTATAATAACCACTTACTCACTTATCAGTTCTCAGTGCGTTTGAACTCGTTGTCTTTTGCTCTCAAAGATGAACAGTTTAATCCCTGCACCTGCAATGCAGCAGCACTGTCTGTGGCTACAACACAGACAGAATGACAGCACCTCACCAGATAGATTCACTGTCGTTTACATCATCTAAAATGTACCTATTACTAGATAGCATTTCTAAATCAGACTTTTGAAGCCTCAGTGATCTGTTAATTCCAAACGAGAAATTAAATTACTAAAACATACCCAAAGGTACGATGATCTGGTGGCTGATGTCCACCTATTGATCACAAGCCTAATGAAGGGGAATTGTGGTATTGGCTTCCTAATGGGTTTTGCCAACAAAATCTGTTAAAGTTCAGCTGCCGAACCCACAGACCTGTATTCAGGACCATCCCAACAAGCTTTGCTACTTAGAGAATGTCCATGCCGGCGCTGGCTCTATCCCAGCCCCATTTATAATACTGTCACATCCAATCAAGAACTTCTCAGCACAAAATTCAAGTTCAGACAATCAACGTTTGTTTCCAGCGCTGGCTCAAGGTCCGAATACATCCAAAGCTTAGAATAGCAGCCAGATTTGCGTGGGAAAGCTTTAGCCCGTTAATTATTCAAAAGCAGGAGTTGAATTGAGCGAGTCCGGGTCGGTATTGAAAAAGACAATGGGGTCTCAACTCACCGACCTTGTTAAACAAAGGTAACGAGTGAATGAGCTTTGTGCGTTTGCTGCAGACTAATACTTCAGAAAGCACCGGACTGGTTGTTGGTACAGGCACCCGTGGGTGATCATCATGTGGCCTTGTGTTAAGCCTCGGCCTGCTGCTCTGTGCTCTAGACTAGCAGCTTACAGATTAAACCTGATCATGTTTGACCAACATAATGCTGCTCCGCATATTCGCATAAACCATGTTCAATCTATACAAATAGTTTTTGTATATTGGTGAACATCATGTTTCACATTATCATTCTACAAAAAAACCCTACATTTAATCCTTGGAATCCTGCTGGTATTTATTCAGAATTACATTCATTCATGCAAGTTGTCGCCTATTGGTGTGAATGTGTCCTTTTCCTGTTCCTCTGAATTTTTCCCTCCTTTCTATGTAGCTATGAATCGAATATCCCATATATTTGTGTAATGCTATTTAGATTTAGTCCTTGAGTAATGCATTTTATATATAAAAAAAAACATTGCAGTTGAGTTTGAAAATTTCACACCTGCTCTTTTGAATCTTCTCTCCTTTTCATGCAAATAAGTATGACAAATATGAACTCCATAACAGGCTTCTTAAAAACAATTGATAGCTTTTTACAATTGTATTAGCCCTATCCCAGAGTGGAAACACTATTTTTACATCCATTATTAGAAGGGTAATGTGACTTAATATGAGAATAGGGTACAATCACTGCTTGTTTTTTTTTAACAAAAAATAACTAACAAAAAATGCTGCTTACCTTTTCTATCAGCAGTGATGGAGGCCATTTTGTGGCTTGCTCTTGCAATAAGATGCAGAGATTGAGTAGGAGAGAGGGGGAGACATAGGAAGGAAAAGAGGAGAGGGACAGAGTACAGATCTCATGGTGGGGTGATGCCTTTCAGGTGTGTAATGGGATTCTTGTTACTTTCGGTTATCTAGCTTTATGAAGAATGAATAACACTCATACAGCTAGATAACCAAAGATAACAGCCAACCCCTCCGGCCACCCGTCCTCTTCCACCATATGAAAAAACCAGCTGGGGTTGAACTGGGACCTGAAAAGAGAAGATCTTTTATTAACTTTCTAATTAGGACGTGATTGAAGTCAACTGTATTTAGTTAAGCGCTAGCTTTAATTAAACCTGATGTGTTTAACGCAAGTCATTCGTTAATGAGCATGACTGTGCTATAGGATGACTTGTTGCTTTTAGAACTATAGTTATTTGTCAGGCATCTCCTTTTAAAGTTGACTGGTTAAAAACCTGCTAGAATAAACTTAGCTATGATTTCACCAGTCTGCTGAACCAGTTTGAACTTGTTTTTAGAAATGCAAGGGGTTCATTCATTGCTTGTTTTCTCTGTCTTACATTGCAGGCTAATCATTCTCCCTGGGTGATAGATGGCTTCAAACGCATCCCGCAAAGGCTGGGAATTCTTTTTAAATGGGAAAAAAGACCCTGACTGTGCAGACAGAGAAAAAAAGTAAAAAGAATAGTAACACTGGTTGTTTTAGTTTTCCGCAAATTTACCCTCAAGTTGCTGTTGTTTGTGTTTCAAAAACCTGTCTTTCAGTGCTAAGTGGCAAAATCATGAGGTCTTTCTCTCTCAGCCTCTCTCTCTTCTCAGTACTCTCAGTCAATCTGATTTTATGCAAATAAAAGAGGAGCTGGTCCAATTAAAAGCCTTTGTGTGAGAGGAGCCCCTCCCCATACACTCTCAGAGGTGTTGCAATCAAAGAGCAGAGAGAGAGAGAGAGAGTGTCATTACTTATTACAGCCTTTCAAGCCTAGTGAAAATGGCGACACAGGGGCAAGTTCAAACACTTTTATTTACTCTACACACAGCTCATCATCTAATTATTTTACTAACAGCACCAGCACATTGTTAACAGGACAAAATGTCCTCAGCCAACAAGCCTTTTGACTATAAATTAAAATTCTAGTCTAGAAGCTTCCCTGTAAATGAACAGTTGGCACACACAAATAGACAGACACATGCATGTTCTGAGCCGAAGGAAAATAAATGCTTTCAATATAATAATAATAATAATAAAGGCTAATAATAATCGATTATCCACCAGCATCCCAGTAATTAAAGACAACAATAATAATATTTGTTGTTATTATTATTATTGTTTTTGTTTTTTATTGTTAATGTTATAGTGGTGTTGAGATCATCACAATGCTTGTATTTACATCCCATTTCGCCAAGTCTCAGGTTGTCTTGTTTCTTGTGCTGAGAAAATATCATTTGGTGGCAATAATTAACTAAAACATATAATGATGAACTATACTGGACAGAGTAGTAACTAGCTTAATAAAGTAATAGGTCTATTAAAATCTAACCTATAACACCGCAGAGATACAGTCAAGATTAGCAGCATTTGTGTGACCTGATTATATAGGCTATAAAAATTACCTCTTTTGTGCTCTGTTTTATATTAATCATTCGAATCAAACTGATCTAAAATATATGCATAATTACAAATATTATTAGGCCTATAAAATATACATAATTGTAGGTTCATAATTCCTATTCCTATTCCCAAATTTTTTCGTTAATATATGGTTCCCAATATTATCTTGTATTAAATTGTTGATAACGAGAGTAATTATAATGTAAACAACTGCAGAGGGGGGACATCATATTTTTTATCATATTTACCGAAATTGCGTGCTTGTTACATGTGTCCATTTGCGTCTTTATATATGTTTTATTTCAGTTTATTGTGAGGATTGTCCTTGTGTGAAAGTCGTGCAAATGCAACATGGTGAATGCAATCATTTTTTATTAGGCAGATTATGCTACCATTTACTTAAAACCATATGTATGTCAATTATAAGTCATTAAATACGAATTTAAACGGAAACATGGGTTATTCGTGTTGTGGAAAATGCTAGTCCTATAGGCTACATTGTAGGTAGGCTACTAAGTGTTTTTTGACGAAACTTCTCAATTATAATGTTTGCACGTTACACTAAATATTCTTGTCATGTCTTACATTTATTGGGCAAATTACATTAGATTATATGAAATGATAAGCGTCTTGTCAAGTAAACTGGTCGTTGTCATTTCCATGGATTTATTTTTCACCTATTCATATCGATGACGCACTAAAATTATGAGATACAAAAAAATCGAAATATTCTGTTGCTAAAATTAAACATGTTTTGGCAATCGCAATATAATGCTCTCTCACACACTAGCCTAAATTAATGAAAAAACTGATTGTGTGTTTGTGTAGCCATATGTGTGTGTAGCCCATACAATAGTAAAAATAGGACTATTAAAATTAGATTTTTTTAAAAAAAATATATATTGTAGCTACCTGTGTATCCCTTGTGCAAAATCACAATTGACGTCCTATGGGGGGTGGAAGAAGCAAAGAGAAAATCGTGAGAAAACTTAAGTCGGATTCCCCCCCTGGCTTTATAAATAGTGAGTGCTGCAGGCTGTGAACATGACTTTCTTGCTGTGTATAGAATGTTTGGTGTAATGTATAGCTAGCCTAGTCGAGTAACATATGTGAGGTAGACCACACCTTAACGTCCGCGATTGTGATTTTTAAACGACCCAGATAGGCTAAAACCCAACAATAACTTTTAAAGAAGACCATCACATAATTCATAATGTCATCCAGACTCCTTCCATCTTACTGCATTAATGAACATGCTATAATCGCAAGAGCAACGATGAGATTTGTCACACAACGGTCGCACAATCCAAGGTTTTAATTCAGACCTTGGTCATCTTTCGGTCAGTTGTCACAATTTGATTGGTAAATAATATTTAATTAGTAATGTTGTGGGGTGGGGGCATGTAGCCTATACATACCATACCTACATAGGCTATGTCTCAATTATGTATACTATTTTATAAACCTTTAAAATTAGAATTTTTGTAATAAATGATAATCTGTGTTTATGGGTATGAATAAAACGCGCATGAAAGAGGCACGTGGAGAGTAGATATTGGCCTTGTGATTAATCTGAACACTGGCCATCAGGATTAAACACGTCATGCGCACAGGCCTCATCTCATAAACACCAAACAAATTACAATCATTCTTATTCAGCTTTTAAAAACAATTATTTAGAAAATTTTCTATTGAGACTTGTTCTTTAAATAAATGCTCTTTCCATCATGTGGTTTGAATGACCCAGAAATATTTCTGTTATTCTCGTTTTGTGGCTTAAAGATAAAAGAAGATTCAGTAAAAACACCAAAATAATAAACCACGAAAATTGATAAATATCCCCATTGAAAGCTTTTAATTCAGACATAGAACACTGTAGCTAACTCTAAATTCTCATTTAAAATAACTTTCACGCTATCATTTACAGATTGGTAAATTGGCGAAACAAATAAAGCCCTATCAAAATATTGACTTGTCAATAATTTACAAATTAGAGAATTTGGGGCTCCATATACAGGCTTGCTTATGAGTTGAGTCTTATGAAAGAATCCGTAGCCTATTATTTAAAATGTCTTACATTTAAACCAACTATGGCTTCTTTAATGAAAAATGCGATGACTATCGATATGATAAGCTACAACTGACTATTTCACGTTAATAGCGTTCAAAGAGGATGCACGCGCCTCTGATCAACAGCAGCGTGTCTCGCGCGAAAAACCCTAGGACCGCTACACCGCAACCTGTTCTGGGGCTTATTCCTGGCAATTCTCGCTTCACCTTTAAAACACGATTACAGAATTCTTGCCGTTTTATGAATGCAGTCTACAATGCAAACGTAAATATTAGCGTATACTCACTCTTATCCACGAGCATCGATGGTCTTCAGGATGGATAGCAATGATAGCCTATATGTGCGCGTGCGAGCTGCGTGCGCTCCAGAATGTTGTCTAGCGCTTCGGTCCTCCGCTTCATGGCTGCGGCTCCGCGTGACGTTGCAGTGGCCCCATCCATTCAGCGTGTCCGTATCGGGCTGCACGCAGTCTTTTCACCAATATTTCCCATTGAGATGCTCCTCTTCTCCCCTACCGAGAGTGGAATGAGCTGCTCGTTGTCCCCCCTCTTATCATCCCGCTTATTAAACGCTTGTGGGCCTCAACCTGCAAGCCAAAAAACATATAGCATATTTTAAGCCCTCCCCTTATGACACGTTGCGGTTAGAATTTGTCCCCACCCTCTTGAATTAGCAATGCAATACTGCTTTAATGTTCGAATAAGCATTATAATTTGCGGGGGGGTTTTTTCTGTTAACAAAATAGTAAGTTCTTCCTATAGACCTTAACGTGTCCTTGAATAAAAAAAAACAGTTAATATAGGCTATAATATAATTAGACATACAATAGCTCGGTTTTATTTACTCATGTTTAATACATAAGAATATTTGCTGTGCTAAATAGTCTATGCAATATGTTTATACCTGAGGTTGAAGAAGGCCTTGATTTTTGTGGTGCAGTATTGAAATAAGTACCTTTTGTATAGGGGAACTAAGAACACTGACTTCGAGACTCCTTTAACTGTAACCCACAGTTTAAATCAAGTGGACTCGCTCCCAGCAACCCTTTGTTTTTTGCCTTTTTCTCTGTAAGTGTCTAGGAATGTGACCACTGAATCGACAGGGTGAAACCGTGCAAATCAGCTTTAACCGTCAGGACCGAGAGTAGACCCCAGACAAGGGGACAGAAAGGGGTCTCAGTCTGTTGATTATCATAAGAATCAGATCGCTGGGGATAAAAATCTCCTTTGAATAAATTACTGGTTCAATAGGAGGCGCGACTGCCAAATAGACAACTCTGTCAGAGGCCGCATGTCTTGGTTTTCAATCAGTCGTCTGACTTCCCTTTTCTAAAAGCTCAGAATATTAATGCATTCCATTTCTCTGTCTCAAATTCCATCGCTTGTTGCCTTTTCTCCAAATCTGGATAGCACGCGAAAGCCGCTGTTACCAGTGCGTTGGGGGCATGCAGGCCTCGAACT